TATGTTCATAATAGAATACTGCTTTTCTATTAATGGTAGATTTAGTAAATTAAGTGGCAATACAAACACATCTATTTCTCATTGCCTATAACATGCAGTCTAAGCAGTCATATATTATCATTGGAAGAAAGCCAACACTGTATAGTTCACTCTCTCATACAAGAACCCTTGCCTTCAGGACAGAAAACCTAATATAAGATTTTTACATATAATTTAGCTTTACAGCTTCGAAGCATTTAAAGCAGGACAACGCCAACTATGGCTTTAACAGCGTGGCGGCCATGACTCAGCCTGTAAATGAATCTTTGTTTAATGAAAGTTTTATGACTGATATAACTTACTACAGAAACAATGTAATGAAAATTAGACTAATGCTATAAGCAGATCACTAGTAGAGCTGTGTGGGAACCAGATTTTTCTTTTCACAGAAAATTCCAGGATTTTGAAGTTTTTTTCTATTAAAAAATTAGATGAAAACAATTTTTAAAAATTTCCCATGGAGCAAAATTCTGAAAAAAACTGCTTTGGGTCAATCAAAAAACTTTTGTTCAGATTTTGACTTTTTAAAATGCTTATATGATAATACAATTTTTTTTAAAGTTGGAAAAAAAAGTCATTTTGAACCAGAAAATCAAAATGTTCCATTCCAGTTTCTAAAAGAAATTTAATTGAAGTAGACATAAAAAACATGTTCGCAGAAAATTTCCACCCAGCCCTAATAACTTCATGTTTAGAAATACCATTCATGTTAATAAATTCATGTCGACAGCTAACACTCTGCCATTTAATTGCTGCCTTTTGCTGCTTTGTTTGACTTGATTTACTTGGTAGATGGGTTAACATTACCTACACACTTTTTCTATGAATTCGCTCATGATGTGCCTTTTCTCAAGTGCCAGATACATTATTTAAGAAACAAATGGCCAATACAAACACTTAACTTTATTTTTAAACTCAACATTTTGGTAGCAGCTTTGTAAACCAGTAAAGGAAATGTTTTGTTTTAAGATCTTAACTTAAATCTTTGTGAAGCATTTTATCAATTGATAATCTCATACTGCAAGTGAATCTGAGATGTATTGTGTAAGAGTAATGGCCAACGACATTGGTTTCTAAAGGTAGGCTCCTAAATCTATATTTAGGCACCTAAATAAGTGGCCTCATTTTCAGAGGTGCTCACCAATCCACAACTCCTACTGTCTTTAGAAACCCAAACATTCAAATGTTGGCCATTTTACAGAACTCACCCATAAAGAGATTGTTGGGAGGGGAAGGAAGGACTGAATTTGTTTGATGTGAACACAATGTACATTGTAAAGGAATGGATTTGCATGGGGTTTGGAGTCAAGGTACATTAGCCAAGCAGTCAGGCGTGACTGTATCAGAACACTTTGCAGCTTAATAAGGAGTGGCAGGATTGTTTTAACAAAATATGCCGTGGTAGCTGTGCCTGAGTAGCCCAAAGGCTGGCTGTCCTCTCACAAACCACCTCAATAAAAAGGATAATTTATTAGTATTTTCCCTGAAATAAAGGAAACACACTGAGTTCTCCTTTAAAGCCCTGTAAATAAGATACCTTTAATCAGACTGGTTTACAAATTAAGATTACAAGCTTTCAATCCCCTGAGGAGCAGAAATAATCAGGATGATGACATATGATTAGAGAAAGGCCACTCTATGCCAAGAATTTTAATCTACAAGCAATTATTTAAAGACAGCAGAAGGCAGCTGTATAAGCTGAAAGAGATGAGATGATTATTAGAGGAATAACGGTAGAACAGGGAACTAGTTCTACAAAGGGAATCGCAATGTTGATTTATAGGTTTGACACACAAATAATGAATGAATGCAGGCCGGTGAAATAAGAATTCAAGATTGTTTTTGAAATTTTATTTTCAACGAAGCACAAGCTACAACAGGCCCATATCATGCTACAAATACAAAAGTGTGGGTTATTATAAGAAATTAAGTGATCAAGCAAGAATTCAGGCCACCATGCTGGTCAAAGTCCTGACCTGCTTATCTGAATGGGGTGTTGATCTATAACCTTGAAAAGGCCATCATGCCATATAATATATCACTTGTGGCTAAATGCCTCTGAAAGTCCAGGCACAAGAGCGAGATATCAGGCCTTAAAGAGTGATTATGTGGTCCAAATATTCCATTTACAAAGGGTCAGTAATGAACAGGTACGTGAATGAAATCCACAGCCTTGATGAACATCCCCCCTACCCTACCCAGCAAACCCAAATGCCTTTTTCCCCTCCAGTCCCAGGATTCCAAGTTTTGGCATCACCAGAACCACTTCCCCTCAAATAATGAGAGAGAGAGAGAGACAAGATGGAAAAAGGTAAATAGTCCCTCAGCTTGCTAAAGAGATATGGCAGGCCTAGTAAGTAACATGGCTGGAACCTTTCAGAACTCATTAGCACTCTTCCCTATGAAATGACTTGAGATTCTATTGTTTTTCTCCAGAGCTGTCTGTCTCTTCCTCAGCACTCTTGTCCCTGCTCTTGCGAAAAGCAAGAGAAGCAGCCAGTAATTAAAGCTGGGACTTTCACATAGCAATACAGAGTCCATTCAGTAATCTATTGGGCTAGGTAGGTGCCGCTAGCTTTAACTTACCGTGCTGGGCATAGCTATTATGATACACATGCTTCTGTAGGTAAGATCAAACAGGGTACTGTGACTATGTGACAAGAGAAGAGCTGCAGATTTAGAGTTTGGTCATGAACAGTGCAGGTTTGGGGTGTTGCCATATACAAGCATAAAATAAAAAGTGGTGAGCATGAGAGGGAAGGCACTGGAACCTAATAATGTGTCAATGAGAGTGCTGCTGTACAACTGCCAGGTTACCCTGGGGTATCAGGAAGAGGGGCTTAAGAAAGGAACACTTAGCTAAGCCCTCAACAGCATGATGAGGACACTGCTTCAAGCCATATCTCCTAGACATGGTCTTTGTCCTCACCTACTTTCGACTCTGAACAACTAGGAAAAAGGGTGCACTGGTGTAAGTGGAGCTTGAGATGAACCACCATACCTAGCCTAAACCTGAAATCCTTGCCCCACACATAGCTTACTCCTGCCCATAGTCCATTTGCCTTCCAGAGGACAATCTGCAGGACAGGAGTAAGATAACACACAGGACTGGAAGCTTAAAAGAATGGGCCTGGAAGGTGAAATTCACCCTTGTGCAGAGGGCCAGAACAAGGCCTACACACCTCTTTAAGTCGCACTAAAACATGATTTTGAAGACTTAGGTGGGACTAAGCAGGGTCTGTGCTGGCCCTCTGAATCTCACCCTCTGTGTATAGACCTACTCCTAGTTCATGCCCTTACTTGTCTCCGTGTATAAATTTCATTTGCATTGGAGTGCAATAACTTTGAGAACCCTGTTGCACCCCTTGCAATGGCTGACAGGGTCAAGGCCTTAATATCCACGCATTTCAGTATACCTTTGTATTTGCTAATACATCTCAGCTCATTTTCAGCTAGAAATCAGCAGCCTTCTTTCCTTTTTTTTTGTATACATGTATAGTGGATGATATGAAAGCATCCAGCATTTTGTCAGATGCCATTTTCTCAGGACTTGAAGTCCCAATTACAACTATTATCATGGTGGGGATTGTGAATTGTCTTACACTTACACTGGAATAAAAGAAAAAAAAAGTTTTGTTAAACGTGAAACCAACAACATCATCTGCTGCCTCTAGACATCTAACTGGAGGACTCTTGTTTTGTATTTAAAGCAACCAATAGAAATCAGATGACTAGCACAGCACTAGCATAACACGTTGACCTCTGCATGCCCTATATCAATGTTTCTACTTCTAAAGCTTTCTTATGCTGCATAATAGTGCAGTATTGTACTCTTTAGTGTCTTAGAAATTCCCTGCAAATCAAGTGAGCAATCCTGTGAAATTCATCCCTTTCTCAAGGCAAAATTTAAACAACATGAGACAGCCACATGCATATTTCTCTCAACTTCCGCTGTACTTCCCCGCCCTCCCCCCCAAGTCATGATATGTCAGTTACAAGGCTATGGACTGTGCAGTTACATGCTCGCTTTTAGTTTGTATATTGAACAAATTCAAACACCACAGATTCTTAGTATGCGGATTAGGATTTTATGGTAGCTACAGGCATGATTTTTGCTTATGTAAGTTACCTCATATTTCTGCCAAGAAAGTGGCATGTTTTTTCTCTTTTTGGTTTAGTTTTGGCTACCATGTCCGAGTGTGCGGTACATTTTGTTGTAGATACTATATCTGTTTTCCTTTCCTGTTTATGTGTTGATAATATCTTAAGGGGCCAAAACAATCAGAGTTTACAAGCTTCTGAAAGTTCAAGTAAGTCTTTTCATAGTTATGGCCACAAATACTGATGTCACTAGAGAGAGAAACTACATTGTTGTTAGCTAACAAACTTCCAATTGTGAAATGCAGTTTTGCAGCACATGCAGTGAAAGGGAGAGAAATAGGTTAGAGAGAAATTTGGAACGGATGTTCTAGTGCTTCACATGTTTAGCAAGGCTGCCCTTAGACTTGCAAATTCAGCTCAGGATACATCTTGTACTCCAATCCTGGGTCAGGCAACTTGAGCAGAGCTTCTCAGTTATGTTGAGATGTTAATCACCAATCAATAGAGAGAAGAAAGACCAGAAACTCATTTTCACTAGGATTTAAATTCAGATCTTTCTAGAGATGAAAAGCCATCTCAGTAACATACAATACCATCAAGATTATTAAAGTCCTATTCAACTTGCAGGCTAAAACATGGTAGAAATAACCCACATTGGGGCACACAATTAATTGTGCAGGAAGCATTAAATACTGTCTTAATTTACTTATGAATATATGTTTAATACCAGCAATAATCTCAGTTCACAAATTTTATTGTAAATTACGATGAATGTGGTCAAATGTAGTCTCCCAGCTAAATGCTATGTTTAATGGGATGTTTCAATAACGGACCCTTTTCTAACATGGCTATTCTTACAGAATCACAGAAGTTAGAAACAGAAAAGAGGGAAGATCTAGCCCATCTCTCAGCCCCTGCAGGACCATTCTGCTATGTTCAGGTATGTTACCTAGGACTTTCTTCAGTATAGTTTTAAAAGTTCTGAGCAATGGGGCTTCTACTCCTTCCATAAGGAGGCTATTGCACAGCCAAATACATCTCAACACAAAGAAGTTTTTCCTGATATACAGCCTACATTTTTGCTTCCTAAATTCCATCCCATTATTCCTTGTCCTACTTGTAGACTTTCTGATCATATAGCATCCAGATCGGAGTGCAATATTCCAGTGCAGTCACACCAGAGGCAGTGGTGTTGGAACAAATTGTATAGTGGGGGTGCTGAAAGACATTGAACAAAACTGTAATCCCTATATGATGGAAACCACTTCAAGCCAGGAGGTGATGTCGCACCCCCAGCACCGCTAGTTCCAGCACCCCGACCAGAGGGACAACTGCTTCTGCAATATGATACCATTTTGTATGCAGCCCAAACCGTTACTGGACTTTTTTGTATCCATAATGTTTAGCAAACTCATGTTGAATTGTCTGTCCACTGTCATCCCTGGAGGTCTTTCAGCATCTCTGCTTCCTGGGTTTCTCCCTCACACTGAAACATCAATCATGTACTCAATGGATCTTTCCCTAGGTAGGGTGACCAGACAGCAAATGTGAAAAATCAGGACAGGGAGTGGGGAGTAATAGGAGCCTATATAAGAAAAAGGCCCCAAAATTGGGACTGTCCCTATAAAATCGGGACATCTGGTCACCCTATCCCTAGGTGACATGATTCCAGGATGAAACTCATTTTATTTTCTTCCCATATTTCTCTCCTTTATGTGTTATGTCATTGTCATGACTGGAATTCACCTTCTCCCAACATATTATTTGCTAATCTAACGAGCTGTTCGCTCTCTCTGCCAGATCAGTATTGAAGACATTAAAGAAACAGCTTTTAAGACTGAACCTTGTGCTACTCCACTGGGCAGCCTCTGTCCCACAGTTCGATACAGCTCCATTTATCGCTATCCTGTGTTTACAATCTGTTAGCCAATTTTCAGCGCCCATGACCTTGACTCTATCTGAGCCCATTGAAATGAATTTTTCATGTAAGATTTCATGAGGTGCTTTCAAATGTATTGCTCAAATCCCCAAATATTCTATCCACCATATCACTTTCATCCCTAAATATTGTAATTCTATTAAAAAAAAAAAAACAAACAACAACAGTTTGGCCTGGTAAGACTTGGAGCATGATCCTGCAGCCTTTACTCATAAATAACCCAAACTAACATTGGCCCTGTTTCAGCAAGGTATTTAAGCATTCAACTAACTTTAAAAATGTGACTGGTCCTATTGATTTCAAGAAAGAAATAATACAGGCAGAATATATTACAAGAAGAAGCAATAGGCTCTTGGAAGTCAGCAATTACCAGTGTGTGTATATAAAGTTATTTTCCTAACCCAGCTCTACTTACAGAACATGTGAAATGATTTAGAGTAGATCAAATACTTAGCATGGTAAAAAGAAACATAAAAAATTCCAAATTCTATTGGACCAGTGGTCTAACTAATCTTAAAAAGAAAGAAGAAGTCTGTGTAGGACAGATATAAAATTGTGTCTAAAACTAGAGAATGGTCTTTTTGAGGAGCAATACCTTAGGCATTTAATGTACTTTTAGCTTCCTTTAATGTCTCTTAGCAGTTGAAAACAAGAAAGAGAGCCACCATCATATGAAAAGCCAGCTCTTCACAGATTACCATTGGTCCATAAACCACAGATTAAGAACCTGTGCTCCAAATAAAAGTTCTCTCTCTAATTCCCCATGCATTTTGGAGTATACATTAGAATCCAAGTATCAGAGAGGTAGCCATGTTAGTCTGTATCCACAAAAATGAGGAGTCCAGTGGCACCTTAAAGACTATCAGATTTATTTGGGCATAAGCTTCAGAAGTGGGTTTTTTAGGTTTAGTCTAAATCTAAAAAACCCTAAATCTGTGAATCTTTAAGGTGCCACCGGACTCCTATTAGAATCTAAGTAACGCCTAACTGTTTCTGTTGTAGATATATGTTTCTAGAGAAGATCAAACCTTAAATTCACACTAATGTAAAAATGAGCCCTCTTCAGAAAAAGCATAAAAGTGTGTGTGTGTGTGTGTGTGTATATATTATATATTCTGTTCTCTCCTCTGGGAAACTTGGTGAAAGTGGGAGATGAAAGGGACATGTTAAGTAGAAACAGATATCTGATAATTCTCACAAGGTCTGGTTTGTGTCCAGTATTTTCCATTAAGAAATTTGGAAGTAGCTAGCAGCCTTGAACGGTGCATACATTGATAGTATATCAGTTTTCATGAGCCCTTCAAGACCTTTTGGGCAATTCTTAGGCCCTTAGAGCTCCCTTCTTCTCTCAGCTGTAAACACTGTTCTCAAAGCAGTATTACATAAATACATTATTATTCATAACACCACGTTCAAATAGACTTACAAATATTAAGGGATTAATCCTCACAATACTCATTCAATGTAGGTATTAGTAAGTAGTAGGTGCCTCCATGGTAGAGTCTCCACTGACCTGGGAAAGGGCGTCCAGGGTTTAATTATTATGTCTTTTGTGATATTATATATTAGGGTTACAGGGGAATCTATATGGCATATAAACTACTACTGTTTCAATAGGCATTGGTTATGGATAGAGATGGTTAGGAATTTTCTGTTTAAATGTTTTTCTGTTGGAAAATGCAATTTCTACAAAAATCAAGGTTTTCCATGGAAAAAAAAAGTTTAAATTTTGCCAAAATTTTTTGACTTTCCATCAGGAAAATTAAATACAATATTTTATTCCAGGTTGGATCAATCGATATTGAATTATTTAAATTCTTTGACCTGAATTCAAATGTTTTATTTCGGGTCAGTTCAACATTAATCTGTATTCAACTGAGTTGCTGAGGGTAGAGGGATAGCTCAGTGGTTTGAGCATTGGCCTGCTAAACCCAGGGTTGTGAGCCCAATCCTTGAGGGGGCCACTTAGGGATCTAGGGAAAAAATCAGTACTTGGTCCTGCTAGTGAAGGCAGGTGGCTGGACTCAATAAACTTTCAGGATCCTTTCCAGTTCTAGGAGATAGGTATATCTCCATATATTTTTATATTTCCTACAATGCCTCATAGAAATTGTAATTTGTGTGCTTCTTGGCTTCACACTCCCTTGTGGGTAGACTTGGCAGAATTCAATTTTCATTTTTTAAAATAATTGCAACAGATAATATGGGTGCTTATTTTTATCATTTTTATTTTTTTAATCAATTTACATTTTCACAGTTACACAAAATTATGGATTTTAAATGTTTTTTTAGTGATTTAAGTTTTCACAGTTCAGGAATCATCTGGGGTGTCACAATTATTTAATGACAGTAGACATTGAGATTCAAAAAGTAAAGCTTCATAACTGCTTAAATATAAATTGTCAAATCACATGTCAAAATATACAAAATAAATATCCTTAAATCAACAACTCATACCTGTTTTTACTATTCATTTGCTAGTCCATTTCTATCAAGACTAATTCAAAAGTCTAAATCACTGGATTGTGTTTCTAAGAAGTTCTCAGGAAGCAGTTTTCTTTGCCTAGTTTTAAATTTTGATTATTAGCGATGGAAAAGTGGGTAGGTCCAGTTATGGAGTGACTGGAGCCAAAGCAGCAAAGAGAGGTGCTCATTCATTGCTTGCCCTGGACAACATTCACCAGTGGTGCTCCTATGGAGAGCATGTTATGAGTGCTCTACATCTGCATATATGTAAATAGTTAATACATACGCTGCCAATAGATGGTGCCTATTAATATGTAACATAGTTCCTGGGTTTTGTAGGAACTATGAAATTTGTTGTACACTGAAAATGGCTTCCTCTGTGTAGCTCTTAACAGAGCATAAAGAACAGCAGCAGGAGATGAGAGCCATTGCTAGAACAGTGCCTTGAGATCTGGCTCTTCTAGATGAAAGATTCTTCCTAAACATATGATGCTATTGTAAAAAGGACTTAAAGTTAAACTTTTTGAAGCCACACTCTTTTTGACGGTCTTGAATTGAGTTCTGATTGAAGGCCCAAAAATAGTTCGGTTGGAAATGGCATCATGCAGTACAAATTGTGTACGTTTTTATAGAACATTGAAGGAATGTGAGGTGTTAATAAAGAGAGCAGTACTGTACATTTTAACCGGGATAGTGTCTCACTAATTCACAGAAGTCAGAACTTTTGCAGAGCACCACTCATCTTACAAAATTTTTCTGTAACCTTCTCCTGAGTCCTGGCCCAGCTTGTGATGTTCTGATTACAGTAATTATTCTGTCTTGTTACTCATATGTTGCATAAGATGTGTTTAAAACATCTATCAACAGAACAATTATGTCTGTGGAGCTTAAGGCACACTTCTCTGGCTGGTGTGGTTTCTATGGGGTGATTTATTTTACAGTTAGTGCTTAAGGAGTTCACACATTTTGTAAGTTTTTAAAAAAAACATTACATAGAATTGCCAGCACCTCAAGCAGCATCTAAGGCCAAAACAAAAATACGGAAGAGAATACCATTGTCCTGAATACCATTATTTAATTAGGTAATGACAACATGCTGACTGTGTGGTGGTTTACATCACTTGTCCTTTATTCTAAAACATCCCCAACTATCATTATAACCCTGTTTCCGTTGCACATGCCCAACATATCTTTAAGCATCTGTATAAATATAAAATCACTCCCCAAACTTTGGAACTAATTTAGACATTTTTTGACAGTTTAGGTTTTCTTCTGCCAAAATACTGACACATGCTCACCACATAAATACAGTTATAATGCACTGGTCATGATTTTAACTTACCACATACAATTTGATAACATTTTCATTTTCCATATTTTTAGAATGGGTTGAGAATACTTTGATTACTTCTCTCTCTTTGGAGGTTTGTTTTGTATAAATCCCTGAAAGTTTGGATGCTTATCTGAACTGGATGCATATTCACTTCCTGTCTTAAACTTTTAGGTAGTTTCTGTGCCCTGATAAAACAACCACCACATTCCTCCCTAGAAACAGTTAATTAATCCCTGTACATAGTTTGTATAACAGTTTGTGAAGCACTTTAGGATTCTCCAAGATGAAACACACTATGTAATTAGAACTAGTTGGAAAAATTTTAATGAAACTTTCCTTCTATGGGAAAAGGTCAGTTTTGACTAAATTTCCTCTTTTTGAAAAACAAATTGAAAAGTATTTAGAAGTTGTTGAAAGTGACAGGTTTCAACAGTTTCAAAACAAAACTTTCCAGTTTCCTGCTTCAAAATTACTTTTCATTTCAAAAATTAAGCTAATTATAGTGAAAATTTAAAAAGGTGAAAAATCAAAATGAAATGGTTCGATTGACCTGAACCAAGTGGTTTGTTTTGTTTGTTTACAGATTTTCAGTGTAGGCAAATTTTCAAAATTGCTTCCCCGCC